ATATATTGATAAATATAGGATTTGCGTGGCAGCCATTTTGAAATCCAAGATGGCCGCCATAATGACCTCGGATGAGGTGGTTCCTACCAAAAATTGAATGCTATGACCATAAAAAGCATGTAAAAAAAAATTGGTGCTTTTGTCCGGAACGTCCACATCCATCTGCTAAGCTGCCGGACTAAATGTCATATCTGTTTTAAAGAAATCTCAGAATGTATGAGCATGCATAAGAGTTTCGCCAAAGTAGACCAGACCAAGGCTCTGTTTCTTGGATCCGATGAGGTACCTTTTAAGGCCCGGCAATCATTTTGCACAGGAGCCTGGCACCACCTCGCTACGCCGGTGGTAGCCTACATTTCTTTTAGAAATGATATATTTGTGACATATTGAAGATACTGCAGATCGAAATAGGAAGTTTCTACATAGATTAGACACTTTATGTTAATATGTTGCAACTTTTATATATTTATATACTCTAATATCTAGAGGTCATAAGGTCTGCCTTGCACTCATAAAGGGATGAATTAGGAGAAGGACAGCTAACCAAAAGTTAAAAGGTGTTGAAACTGAGACCATGTAAAAAAAAATGTTGATCGGTCGGTAGGCAAGGAGGTTATCAACAAATTATTTTTTTTATACATCGTCGAGGGAACAATCAATAACTTATTATTTTTACATGGCCTTATAGTCAAACCACTGGAATCTAAGTGACTGTGTAAACAATGCACCGTGTTCAAAACAGAATCCAGAGTAATTTTTTCCCTCTATTAAGCTGAAATATGGAATTATTCACGCCGTGTGATGAAGACTTTGATGATCTATGTTGTTACAGTTTTTCAGACCTGCAGGTTTCGAATCCTAGACGTTATCTACGTAATGGGTTATACACTGTGATATTAGGCTTTGAAATAAGCATAATTATAATATAGATTATTATTATTATTATTATTATTATTATTGCTATTATTACTATTATTAATATTATTATTGTCATCATCATCATCATCGTCATTATTATTATTATTATTAATATTATTATATTATTATTATTATTATTATTATTATTATTATTATTATTATTATTGTCATTTCTATTTTCAACTTGAAGCAGTTATATTTTTGAATCTCATTTGTTTTGTGATTTATGGACATTGCTTAAAATAAAAGGAATTGATTGATGATTGATTGATATTATTTTATACTGTACAGTACATGCAATAAATTGAAGAGATAAACTATATTATACATATAGATATGTATTCAAATAAGGTTTGCTGCGTAGCACCGTAACCGCAATATAAACAGATACATAATATTAACAGTGCTCGAATAGGAACATGATGTAATTGTATCAAGCATAGCCCTTCAACGAAACCTTCCTTTTTTTCAGTTGTATGAATTGTGCTTCTGGTGGGATTCAAACCTACAACGCTTCGCTATCTAGGTGAGTGTCATGTCATTAGACCACGGAGACCTACTGTATACGCACAATTCTAACCCCAACCTTACAACTGACTGAATTCACTTCCAACGAATTTTCAACTCTTAGCTCAAGTTTATAACTATCCCGAGGATTGTAGTCTCTGAAAATTTTCAGATTTCTCTCGTATAAAAACGGCCGCTCAACTACTTCACACGTTTCCTAAATCAATTCTCCTCAACTTGGAGCTGCGATCGGGTTTGATCTCACCAGCCAATCAAACGTCAGCCTATGTCGTTTGTATTCACAGAGGAAAAGAAAGGAGCAAATTAAAGAAGAATTATGAGACACGGTAGGCATGTTAAGGGTAGTGTGTGGGAATTAAACAGCTATCCAATTAACAGTTTCAATCTAGATATGTTTTATTTCAATTCACTGCCACGGCGATTATGATATCGGTCAATAGACCGACTGCAATAGTATCTCTTCATGAAACACATCAACGATCCTCAAAATAGAAAATTTCATTAAAAAATGCTTTTTTAGAAAAAAAAAATCTAGTTCCTTTCGATGGCTGTTCTGAATGATTTTATTTTTTCTTTATTTATAAAAAAAATGAATTATTTTAAAATCTGAAACATTAAAAAAAAATAACAATGTATATCGTGTCTGGTCAAATGAATAAATACATTTTTAAATTATAATAATGCAGTCATGAAAAATCTTTTTTGGTATTTCTTGATAATAATAAAATAATACTAATGATAATAATGTTAATGATGATAATGATGATAACGATGATAATGTTGATAACGATGATAATGATGGTGATAATAATGATGATGATCATAATAATAATAATGATAATGATTACGAATAATAATAATAATATTAATAATAATAATAATAATAATAATAATATAATAATAATAATAATAATAATAATAATAATAATAATAATAATAATAATAATAATAATAATAATAATAGTAGTAGTAGTAGTAGTAGCAATAATGCAATCGGCTCAGGGTAGTGTTGGTTTTGTTGATTTTTCCCTTACTAAATAACAACCTGCATATTCTATTGAAATATTTGTAACATAATATAATAACAATTAGCCAACTATTGATATCAATAAAATTGCAAAATCATTATCCACATGGTGAAGAATATAATTAGCAAACCTTATTTCACGCATTTACGTGTTTGTTGAACCAAACCGTCTGTTCGGTACCAAATGCTGTTGTGAAAACCAGTTGCATCTAGGTCTTTAAAATCGTTCAGCCATGTGTAAATTGAGGGGTGTGGGGGGGGGGGGGGTCTCTCTCCTAATATTCTTTTGTTATTTTGTAATCACCTTGTTTTAGTTAATATTATTGAATATCAATGTTACAGTGATTTCTTTTTAATTAAGAATATTTATTTGTTATTTAATCTTAGGCAATGTTTGATACCAATAAAGACGAATTTCCAATTTTTATATATTTGATATAATGTTTATTTTTAATGTAAATTTAGAATAAGATTCGATTTTGATGACGTTACGAGGGCTGCATGCATTTGCTGGAGATGGTAATGCGGCGTCGATGACCGGCAACAACGTAAGTAATTACAAGAAAAGGAGCTTGATTAATTTTTTGCAACATCGCTGTCAATATTCACTTCGATTACAAAATAAGTGATGTAAATACGCAGATATCAAAACCCTTTCCTGAGAATTAGTTTCCTCGAGTTTTGACTCCCATCTGCGGTCTACAATTTCACGAACATGAGGTTGGATCGAAGATCTGGTGTATAGTAAGAAATATGCTTTACACCCGGATGAGCACAGGCGTGTAATTGCAATTACTCAAAGGAATAAACTTGTTATTTACTTCTCACTGACGTAGTCAGCGACTCACTTCTCCAGAATCGTCTGCCGCGTGAAGTTGCCGGAATCATTTTACCTGAACTTCTAAATTCATATTCTCTATTGGTGTGATCTTTTTTATGGTCGTAGAAATAACGTTACTAGAAGTACCATCAGCTTATAAAGTGAAGTTATTTACAATGTCTCGACGTCGGCTGATGAGTGCAGACGTAATTTCAGACTCCAACCGAATGGCGGGATTACCAGAGCGAGTCTCATCGCTTGGAATAAACGGCTCGAAAAAAGAATCGAGAGAGCGAGACAATGAACGACTTCGTCGGTCTATGTCGGTTGATGATTCTACTGTCATTCATCGAACGAACTCTGAACAAGATGAAATCCAACCTGATTATTTCGAACTGTATGCAAGAGGTAGGAAATTCCTTTAAAATTCTGAAGCATCCTATAACTTTTGTTTTATTGTTTGTTATTGTTCTTTTTATTTAATTTTTAAGCCTATTTTATTAATAGGCCTATATAAATTTCCATTCCCTGTTTACGAAAGAAATTTCAATACTTAAGACCCATCTAACAATTCTACGTTGTGACTGAACTGTGACTGTGACTGAACGTTACAGACTGGGTGTAAAAAATGTTTTTTTGTAGCACATACACACGGTACGAATTATAAGACAATTTTACAATTAAATAAAAACGTGTCTGACAAATATAACCACAACGTTTGCAGGCGACGTAATAACGTTTTGTCCTTGCTGTAGCGTTTTTATAACGTAAAATTGTTAGCTGGGTAGGTTAAATGAAAAACCCGATGTATATTTCAGAGTTCAATTTACAGCAGTGTCTCAACTGTCTTTTGAAATGCGGAAAGTAGGCTATGCATTCAGGCCTAAGAAATCATATTATAACATAACATGAAAACATGAATCAATTAATCAGCCCATGTTCGAAATATTGTTTGTAAATTTACCAGCAAACTTTGGTATACTATCAGATGATAATGCACAGACACACATTGCGTCGTGCGACCGACGGGCGAAAAATCTACTACATCGTGAAAGGTAATTAGCCTTAACATTGTAGGCCTGTGCTGATTGTATACAAATACATTCTTCAAACTATCACTCATTCAACGACGCTTTGCTTTAAGTTCATTTTCATTACACTCAGTACCTTAAATTAACCAGGGACTGATCTTCATCGATTGCATGATCTGTAGATGAAACTACCTGCAGTTATAAGCAATATTTTGATGGTATATATCTTCATGTGTGAGAAGGATGGCCTTGAAATATAATTTATTTTTAATGAATAAAATTATTTAATTGGTATACGCATCGAAGGATTGGGTTCAGTCCCCAAAAATGGCAGTATAATGTACTTCCATTCCTTAAGCCTTACGATGAGAATTAGTTTGAAGAGCATCAGAGATTTTCTTTATAATGATGAGATATTTTGAATGACTTTTGCTGACTTGAAGTTCAGATCAAAATATGTTACCCTATATATAAATAATATCAAATAATATAACATTCACACAAAACAACTTCCAATATCATCATGTATATTTTACTTATAGGCTCATGTTAGAATAAATTTTAAATTAAATAAATAATTAGTAATTTTAAACATCTCCGGGCATCGGATAATGACAAGGTCGAAAAGCTAATCTGAACATGATATATGATAACCACTGGTGCAACAACTGGTCATACATTTGTCACAACGCGTCTTGGCGTTACAAGGTCTGGCTTTACTCCCTGAATCTGAAATTACGTGTCTCAAACTCCTATTAAAATAACTGCGCTCAGAGAACAGTTAGGCTTACAGTTGTAAATTGGAACGATTCAATGAGTAACTCTCAAGATATAAAGACCGATCTGCAAATAAGCACTATTCTTGATTAACACTATACTAAAATGTGTTCTATGTGCCACTTTCAAAAGTGTCAGCTGTTGATGTATGATCATTCTTATTTAATTTATTACTTTTATTTATCATATACTCAGTATGAAATCATAAAGATATGACCAGATGGACACTATAGGGCGAGAGCTTAACATGATGTGGGTAAATTCTAAGCCCAATATCCACAATAAATAGCCTATCTCAAAAAAACAAGCTAAAAACTATACATTATGAGATTGTATTAACATATGTAACATTGAAAGCCTATTTACAAGATTACCAGCATCTATTAAAATACGAATTAAACTTTGAGACAAAATATTAAAAACCACACACACACTAAATGATACAATAGATAAAATGATATAGCACAGCTAAAAAAAATAAATGAATACATATTTGTCGTTCTTATTATTTACAATTAAAAAACTTATTGGCCATTATAATCAATATTTTTCCTCTTTTGTAGTGCACCACCACTTTTATTCATTCATCAATATATCATATCATGATCTTTCAACATATTGTTAATACATGGCAAAGAATAATAAATAATTCTACTAATTATCATTCTCTAACTTCATAGTTTTATTCTTTCCAAGTTCAAACCTTGTTTCCACCATTTTTCGTTATTTTCTTATTTTTCCTCTCATGTAATAATCAACTACTTTTATTAAATGTTATTAGGCAATATTGATTGCTACTCTTCAGGAGGTATTTTGTTTACCTCCGTAGTTAACCGATTAGCTGACATTAAATTGTTATTGCTTGCTAAAATTATATTATATTGTTGTGAATTTGACAAAAACATGTGACATGCCTAAATATGGTCATGATGACATCACATCATGGCCATATATAGGCACATCATGACTATATGGGCACATCATGACTATATATGTCATACAACAGTTATTTTGTCAAATAAAATTTGATAGTGTGTACAGGGCTTAATGCAAAATTCACAGCAATGACAATAAAAGTACTACGTAGACTATTATTATTGCTTTGTATAAATTTGAAACTATACTTTTATTGTCAGTGTTTGTGAATTCTGCATGATAGTATGTTAATTTTTTTACGTCCTTCTTATAAATAATTTAAGGAACCATCATCCCTGTGTTCAACAGCAGTAAATCATGTATTAACTTCCTTAAAAATAAAATTAATAAAAAAAAACAAAAAAACAAAAAAACACCAAAGTGTAAGGTTGATGCACAGGAAAATAATTTCTTAAAATATGTACTATCGTTTCTTCTCGACGGAATTGTATTAATGTGATATGGGTAGATTTTATTTCAATGTACAGTATGTGCGAGGTTGAAAGTATAACGACCTCTTCGCGACCTTTCCATTCGTCTCTTGACTTATTCAAGTCAGCAACGCCTAAGGCCTTACGTTGACGGACGAAGGTTGGCATGTATAGTTCAGCAGTTTAAGTGTATATATCTACGTTACGCTTCTAGATAAAATCGGCATCACCTGTCAGCTAAGCTCTGTTCACACTATCCAATGTTAGTATAGTTGCCCCAATGGACATGATAGTATTAAGCTGCATTCACATCGGTTCCGAACCGAAATTCGAACAGTGCGATGCGCTGAACGCCAGCGTCCTTATTCTTACACACTGATTGCATTTTCTGATTGGTGCGGTAGTCGTTCCGATCAGAAAATTCGGATTCGGTGTGAATGCAACTTTAGGCCCATATCACAGCCATATTATGGGTAAAGCACAGGTACCTTTCACAGAAAACTTTATAATGTGGACAGAGATTTAATAGTTTCCAAGATCAGCTTCTCCTTGTCTATGACGTCATTATTTACATAGACATGGCTACACAATTATCAATTCAATGTGAAACATATTGGTAAATAATTTTATGTACACTCTAGTTATAATTTTCTATTTTGTAATATCTGAAGTTACTATAGAAACAATGTTATATTGCAAAGTCCCGGGTTGATTGTTCTGGGCTCTGGTTCTTAATTAATTTGTTTGAAGGGCCAAAATATTTTTTTTGTTAGTCTCACGGGCCAAAGATAATCTCTGCCAAGCAATCGTTATATATCTGGACCATTTTTAAAATCTGACCTTTAACATCTATATAAAAAATCATAACATTTTAAAAATGCCGATCATTTTGAAAAAGATTTTCATTTCATGACCTTTGACCTTTAACTTTAAAAAAAATTACTAATATTTACAATGTCACAGGGATTATCCCTGTCCAATTTAAAAATGCCACAAGCATCATAAATGTGAAATGTGTTTTTTAATATGACAATGTAGATAAGATTTTGGCTTAGAGACTACTATATATTGTACGTTGTTACATTAGTAGTTAAATTGTTGTTACAATAGTGGTTAATGAATTTTGTTACAACAGTGGTTAAATCGTTGTTACAATAATGGCTAATGAATTATTACAACAGTGGTTGATTTTTGTTACAATAGTGGTTAATGTTACAACAGTGGTTGATGTTTGTTACAACAGTGGTTAATGTTACATTAGTGGTTGATTGTTACATAAGTGGGTGATACAACGTGTCATCAGTTCAACAGTCGTTAGTCACTTAGGTGAGTCGCTTTATCAAATTGATGACAATACAAAAACGTACGCTTTAATTCTTGACATATTTTTTTGAAAAATAGCAAACGTTTTCCGGATAATAAGTACATAGTACAAATGTAGGACTAGCAAAATATATTTACGAGCGCTGTCTCTTGGTACAACGACTTTTTATTACCCCTGTAAAGTTATTGGGGATAAACGTATTGCAAAATAACCCTAAATAACCAAAATTTAGCTGTGTTTATCTGGATGATTTAATAATGATCTTCTACCATGGGTCTCAAATCAGGCATCAGGACCCTGCAATTGTATGTCAAATTTAGCAGAGCTATTAGGAATACCATTTTTTTCGAAAGACTATAAATAACTCCACTTTCTAAGCCCCATAAAGAAACTTAAACCTAGTGCTTAATTTTTTCCATAAAAATCGCTACACACTGTAGCCGACAGCTATCGGCGACGCTGATTGGTCGGTTGAACCATAGAGAAAATAGAACCGGTGAACCGTGAAGACTTCCCGATTGCGCCAGGGACAACAAGTGTAGTGACAGTGTAGCGATTTGTGCCTACGGTTACTATCCCCACGTTATTTCATATTTCATTTTCTATCGATGTTAATTTATCTGTTCGTGTACACATTTACATCGTATGAGCTAGATTCAATGTACTGCAACAATTGTTCTTTTCGTTTCGATGAACAGCATTTATTAGCGTAATGTGTGAAGTTAGACAGAATCTTCCCAAGCAATTAACAAGATGATTTTTTTAAACTGTCAAGTTTAAAACCTCGCTTTGGTTTGTGATAGTTAATTGAGAGTAGACATATTCTAATGAATTTCACTCTGAATAAAAAGCTAATTACTTATTTTATTGAATAAAGATCGAATAGTGAATAAATTGTATTGTCCATTGAAAAACAGAAATTATTATAAGCTCTTACAAATTTCAGTTTTACAGTTAAATATGTATTATTTTAACGTAAAATACTGAATTCTTGTACAATATTAGAGTATAGGTTTGTAAAGTATACAGAAATAAAAAATATTTAAAAAATACTGATTTCAATTGAATATAAAATAAAAAGTTTAATTTACTTAAAAACTTTAAAACATCACAAAATGAAACGTAGACCTGAGATTTCTTTTTATATTTTAATTAAAAAACAAAACATATTTATAGAGGGTAATCCTTCCAGCGTTTCCTAGAAGGTCAGCTGATATTCGATGGTGCCTTCTTAAATATATAAAATGTAAGAATCATTACGAGGCTTAAGGACTTAGGGTGTTTTTAGCCGTGAGAAAAACTCCTGTAGTGTCACAGGATTTGAACCCAGGACCATGAGATTGGAAGGCAAGCCTCTTAATCACCAAGCTACTTCTCCAATACAATTTATAATACGAGTTTATTAATTTATTATATTAATACAATAACAACATAAGTAGTTCTACTAGAGGTTGCACACAGACTCTTACCAACCTTCGAAGAATATCAAGATAACGTATAAAATATCTTTAATTGCCCTCAGCTCTCATAAAAGATTGTCAATGTGCACAAGAGCATTTTACACTAAAAACAAAAGATATTTAAATATATTTCTGAGATCTCAAAATGAACTGGGAAAGCTATTGTAGCGATCAGATTGATACTTCTGGAAACCTAGTAATTCTTCTAAAAATTAGTATTGATTGTTTGTTTTTTTTTCTTAATTTGTACTTTTTAGTAAATAGCAGTTCTCACGAAGCCGGATCTGCTGGTTTTTTATTAATATATTCTTTTGATACCGACATTATTTGCCCGAATAAAAAGCTCCAACCGGTTATAAAGTGTACAAAAAATAATATCTTTAAATTTTTAAACGTGCCATGGTTTTAGGGTGGGCGTTTTGGCAGACATCAGATGTAGTACTGTCTCTTATACACATCTAGATGTGTATAAGAGACAGCGGCGTTGCATACCGGTACCTTTTATTTAGAGTTTGAAATTTCGAGTGCGATGATATTAGTTTGCTATACCAAAATTTCAAAAAAGATGTTGGGTATATTCATCCTACATTTGATTTCCATTTGACAGAACAACCACATTAATAACGCTCTCTTCGCTTACGACCCCACCCTCTATTTGTCACCATTGTAAGGCGGTTAGTATTGATTGTTTGGTTTTATTCAAATAAATAAAAACATATATAATTAAAAAAACACGAAGCTTTGAATCCGTCCCTGGAACCCCACCTGTGCGATAGTCAGGATGAACTCTGGATCCGCGCTTGTTAAGAGAGTGCGTAAGAAGGGCTTTCTATAAAAATGTACACTTTACAATGCTGTTTGAAAGCTAATTTTCTATCATATACTTTATGTTTTGGTAAAGCTGATTACATTCCTTTCATGCAAGTTGTTTTTTTTTTCAGAAGTTTTGGTTTGGAGGTAAAATTCAAATATGTTTTATGTATTGTTTTCCTAATTTCATATTGACTGTGGTGATGTTTAATGATTTTTCTTGATAGATTTGTTACCAGCCAAAGAGTCTGGCGAGCTGACCGGCAAATTCCTGAAGGAAGTGACTGAGCAATTGGTTGAGTACATTCAAGGATCTTTCAACAGAAAAAACAAAGTCATTAACTTTATGCAGCCATCAGAACTCAAAGAAAAGTTACACCTTGATCTACCAGACAAGGCAGAAAATCTTGATCAGATCTTGCTCGATATTAAGAACACTTTGTCGTACTGTGTGGTAACAGGTTAGAAATGTTTCTTTCATTAGTGTTGCATATTAATTCAAGTCAATTCATTTTATTTGCTACAAAGAGCCACCATATCCGCACAAATAAACACAATCTTATACTTGTGTTTAGTAAAAATGTGACCAGGAAAAATAGATGGGCCAGCTAGAAAACAAGTTGTTTCGTAGCACTCTTCTACCAGCCAAGGCAGAAAAATCTTGAGCAGATTCTGCTCGATACTCGAAAATCATCAGGGAACAGATGCACAATTCGTACGGAGTACCAGTCAATTCGAGCGGATGGCACTTTGAGCGAATGCCACTTCGAGCGGATTCGAGCGGTATTTATTCGATCGGGAAAAAGATCCACTAGTGCGAACAACAGCCTGTGCGATTTATGTACAAAAAATGTATAGAAAAAGTTGTATTTAATTTTTTTAAGGTTAACAATTTACAATTAAACATCTACGTTCATAAAAATAATGTTTAGTCATTGTTATTCTTTCCACAAGCTAAGTTTAAAAAAAGTGGATTTTAAATGTAGACGAATGGTCAATAGGGGAGGAGAAAATTGGTATGATGTCTATTAATGTGCTGTTGATAGTCTTGTCACAGGGGCTGGCGGATCCATAATTTTTTAAACGTTGGGATAGGCCACAACAGTTTCAGAATAGATAAGTGAGTAGCACATAACATTAATATGCATTGACATTTTTAAATTTAGTGGCAAAATTGTGGGGGGGGGGGACCCGTGTCTCCCTGTTCTCCCTACTGGATCTGCCCCTGTGTCACACTATTACACAAATGATTTTTGCGCCTTCTGACACGTAGATACGTAAAAATAACTTACATCTCCCATTTACAAATATAGGCCTAAATCGTAAATCTACAAATACAGTTAAAAAACTATTATAATTCCATTACAAATATAATTTGCTTTTTAAATACAAAACCCCAACTGGAGACAAAAACCGTGAATTCACCTGAAACGTGCGAAATTCTATAATTTTAAAATACAAAAGTGCTTGCTAGCGGCTATCTGGTATTAGGATTTGCCAAGACTGTAATTCAGACATGGAATAATTATCAAAAAGTACCAAAACATTTCAGAACTTTAGTGCACAGAGCATTTTTTTTGCATTTAAAACAAACAAATGCAAGAAAGGGCGACGATAAATTCGCTTTTGTTAGAGTTCGCACTAAATGCATCCGTTGAATTACCTTGCGCGAACTGGCATTTGCTCGAATTGACTGGCATTCATTAAAGACACCGACACAGAAATACATACAATGCTTGAGGGAAATGTTTATGGTAGAGATGTATATTAGTTGAGTTTGGAGCTGTTAATTAAACGTGTTATCCAAACAAGGTAACACAGATATGTCGCTCTGAAGCAGACGACTAAGAATCGATTAAGATGCAATTCAATCGATGTCAATCTAATAACACTTAACAAAATGTTTTCACAATCGTGTGTTATTTTAATTCAAGTGGTTAAATGTATCGAATACATCTTGTCTTTGTTGTTACGTATTTATCCAATAAGAGGATAATTTGTAGACATGGTCTTCTGTGAATAGATCACGTGATGAATGATTGTAATGATCGCAATTATGATTACACCTAGTGCTACCTTTAGTCTATTTTGGACATTATAATTAGACACCTATTAGCAAATCGCTTAGAGAGCGAGCATAATTCAATTCAATTCAATCTCTTTTATATTATTAATGCTTCGAGCATCTTGGGCCGATATCCACAGAAACAACACTCAAGACAACATCATACAAAACTCAACATTCAGCATTTTGCACAATGGCACCTCACGGGGCATAGTTTAGGTACACGGTACCACATCCATATGGGGCAGAGACGACACTCTAGTAAGGACAAATGAATCACATATCCCACCAAACCAACCTACTGAAAGCATCACAGAGTAGGGACGTTACTTCAACATAAGATATTTGTTAATTAAAATACACCAGAAATGAATCCATTATTTAGAAAAAAAAATAGAAGAAAAGAATAACCTTACCGTACCTAATTGATTAATTTTTGTCTGAAATAAATATTAAAATTGTAGTTCCCGCTTATTCATCCCAAAAATTCGCGTGTGGAATTGTCAAGGAACTGTAATAAGCCAATTCGCGGTTTGAAATGCGCATGCCCGTATCCAAGGTCAATCGACTTAAAGCTATGTTGTGCGTATGTTTTTTAGCTGCAATATGCGTATGTTTTTTAGCTGATTGATTAATAAATCTTTTTGCATGGGCGGCCGTTAGGGCCAATATATTCTACTACATCTATTATACTGCCCTCATCGGTGCTTTCGAGATTACGAGAACTTATTTTATGTCGATTGACCTTGATACGAGCATGCTCGGTTCAAACTACGAATTGGCTTATTATACATGAGATTACGAGCTGTGTTGTAGCCAATCACAGAACGACGAACTCAGGATATTTTGCCAACTGAAATAGAAAAACGAAAGTAGGACTAATAATAATAATAATAATAATAATAATAATAATAATAACAACAATAATAATAATAATAATAATAATAATAATAATAATATGTCGTCCTTATATAGCGCTTAATGCCTTAACAAATCCTCTAAGCGCTTCACATTACTACCCCGGTCATTGGATCAAACACATACGGAACACATTGAACACCAAATTAAATTATTAAATTAAATATAACACAATATTGTTTATTTTAAAGTTATATTAATAATGTGTTGATATTATTGGTATTATTACTTTACATTGTTACAGGTCATCCACGATTTTTCAACCAGCTATCTCAAGGCTGTGACATTATCTCAACGGCTGGCGAATGGCTAACTGCAGCTGTTAACACTAACATGTATGTTTAGTTCTTATCATTTATTTCGTTATTTTTTCGTGACTTTAACGTACTGTTACCAATGCCGTTGCCACTTCCACTCTACCACTTCTACTAACGTTTCTACTACTACTGCTGCTACTGCTACTGCTGCTGCTGCTACTGCTACTGCTACCACTACCACTACCACTACCACTACCACTACCACTACCACTGCCACTGCCACTTCTACTACTACTGAAGAGAAAGTTTGTCGAATTAATAGTATTGTTAGTCAAAAAAGTGCGTCCAACTTAGTCATTATTTATGTTGTATTTACTGGCTTAAAGGGCTACTCAGCAACGATTGATTCAACATACTTGATAGCAAATGCACGAATTTATACGAAGAAGTTTGAACTTAGTGTATATTGCTCACTTTCTGTTAATTTCATTCTTAATTATTTTGAAGAAGGCCACGGTAACGGACTCATGAGAGTTTCTATGTCGTCCCTTTAACCTCATTTCACCGTCCTATGTAGACATGTTCTATGTTTGTTCACAACTGGTAAAATAAATATTGAAATAAATTGGATATGATCGACGATTCTCGTAAAAAGCAGATAAGCTACGAAAGAAAGGGATGGATATGGAAGAACGATACACTCATTCTAAAATTAATGAAGAATAATATTCGGTTTGTTTTAAGGTTCACGTACGAAATCGCCCCCGTTTTCACCTTGATTGAAAAGGCTACATTAAAAAAGATGCGGGAAATCATCGGCTACAAGGACGGAGAAGGGATATTTTGTCCAGGTTAGTATTGATGAAAAGTCCTATACTTCACTGAAACAAAATAATCTGCTTCATTTTGGTACATAATAAGCTAAATAACAATTTCAAAATGTACCTTGTAACACTACTGTGCCAACTGAACTTTACCTTTCATGTATTAGGAGCTTCAGTCCCCTATGTAAAGTAGTTTTTATTTTCACTTATTTATTATTTATAGTCAATTCAAATTCTGAAAAATGTATGATTGATTGATTAATTTATTGATTATTACTATTTGAATATCAAGAAAATCTTTTTTTATTCGGTTTCGATATTAATATTCCTTTGAAAATATTGAATGTGGTCTGGGAATGAAGTACATGACACCCAATATTTTTTTCCAGAAAAACTAAATGCCTTCCGTTTAAAAACATTATAAAGAAATTGAAAATTACTTATATGATTTATTAATAATTGTTCATGTCTAGACTGAATACGTGACCACTATCAGAATATCTGAGCCAATCTTTTCTTTGAGACTGGAATTATGTGTAAACTGAGAATTCTTTTGATACCAATTTAAGGATAAGCTTATCTTCGCGTTCATTATTCATTTGTCAATATTATCTTAATGATGATTATGAAGTGTGGTTATATACTAAATAAACTGCGTTACGTTTATTTCCAGGGGGCGCTATCTCTAACTTGTATGCCGTACTTGTGGCTCGACAACACCGGTTGCCACAGTGCAAACGAATGGGATTGAAAGGGATGCCACAGCTTGTTATTTTTACTTCAGAAGACGTAAGTAAAGTAAAGTTATTCAACAAATTTTCATATGCACGATAGCGTTATTGCTATAAACAAATTAATTCTTGTTGATAATTTTGATGATGACATTGATGATGACGATGACGATGACAATGATGATGATGATGATGATGATACATTTTTATAGATCATTGACTTACTAACTCCGTGCTTTATTTTTTCTTCACAATTGTCCATTATTTTAATAAAATTCGTTTTCAGAGTCACTTCTCATTTATGAAGGCTGCCGTAATTTGCGGGATTGGTGCAGATAATGTTGTAACGGTGAATACAGATGAAAGGTATTCATTAATAAGCTTAATAAGTGCTCATTTGGAAGTGACGACTTCTTTTCACCGTATTTTAAAATCTGTGCTGTTTTGATTACTATGGAAGCTACCGCATATCATATTGCATGGTGACCATGGTTCTACAATGAACAATAATGAATGATGTATCCGCTAACACTGTAATCATCATAATCACCATAATTTGCATTATCAACTTAATTCCTTAATTCATTCCTATGATCAACTTAATTATTATCATCTTCTACATACAGTATATCATTAACGACATTATCGTCATTTTTCATCATGATCATAATCGTTAACATCATCATCATCATCATTGTCATCATCGTCATTGTCTTCATCACCATCATCATTATCATCATCCCGCAATCACCACCACCACCATCATCATCATCATCATCATCATCACCATCATCATCATCATCATCATCTTCATCTTCATCATCTTCATCATTATCACTATCGTCGTCGTCGTCGTCATCATCATCATCATCATCATCATTATCATCATCATCCTCATCATCATCATCATCATCATCATTATCATCTTCATCTTCATCATCATCATCATCATCTTCATCATTATCACTATCGTCGTCGTCGTCGTCGTCATCAGCATCATCATCATCATCATTATCATCATCATCCTCATCATCATCATCATCATCATCTTCATCTTCATCATCATCATCTTCATCATTATCACTATCGTCGTCGTCGTCGTCGTCATCATCATCATCATCATCATCATCATCATCATCATCATTATCATCATCATCCTCATCATCATCACCACATTCATTATCATCCTACTCCACACCACCATCATCAATGTTTACTCAATCTCTGATTTGTATAGTACTGTAATAATTATATTACGCAAATTTCTATCCCTTTTCAGAGGTAAAATGATAATATCTGACTTAGAAGACAAGATTCAACAGGCAGCAGCTCGCGTGAGTACAGTATTACAAAAAAAAAAATTAATATAGATTTTGCACGGAACAATGAATACCGATCAGTGAGTATTACTTGGCTGTCTTACATGTCCTGGACCTTCAATACAAATAAGTGGTAATCCATTTTCAAAAACACCCCAGCTAATAATTTTACATTATAACATTGCAGTTTGGTTTTCTTGTAAAACCATAAATATTAACAATTAACGTTATTGCAAACGTTGCTGATACGTTCTGTGGACGTTCCTTTTCAATCTAGCTACGGACACACACACACATATGTTAGTAGTAGGCCTGTTTAATAACAGTATTTTATCCACTAGAAATTTTCCAGAAATTTGTTTTTTTTTCAATTGTAGGGTGATGTTCCATTCATGGTCAACGCAACTGGAGGTACAACTGTAAGGGGTGCATTTGATCCTATCCAATCAATTGCTGATATATGCGAAAAGTACAAAATCTGGCTGCACGTAGATGTAAGTAAAATACGTATGAATTTGTGGTGGCCCTTCCCCTGGTACTTCTATATAGTCTGATTGACAGAAATATGCTTAGTTGATGATGTAAACTGCTTATATCTATTTTTTAATTTGTAGCAGTTACATATATGTAACAAATATATTTAAATATATTTGAATCTCTATTGTTTTGTAATTTGATATGAACATTGTCTGTCAACGGAATTGATTGATTGATAAATTTTATCGAGTATTTGGTGCTATTTTAATGTATATTTTCTTAAAATAAAAAAATTAGATATTGATTTTGATATTTTAATAAAAGATAATTACATATTACTTAAGCGGGCATGACAAAATTATTCAATACTTTTTTACTTCAATGCTTTAATTTTAATCTTCATATTAATTAAGGCTGCTTGGGGAGGCGGTGTGTTACTCTCTCGTCGACATCGGCATCTGCTGGATGGAATAGAAAGGCAAGTTCGATAAGAAATGAGTATTTCATTCAGTTTTCATAAGCCATATTCATAATTCTTTTTGCATTTAATAGCTAGGGCCTGTAATTGCAAGATACAGAGATCGTATGGGCATTAGTGTAGTGCGCCCTCTTTCATTGTTAACAATATAAACTTCAGTTGGTTCATTGCTGAATTGGTAAAATTAGTCCTTGATTCCGAGGTAAGACTCTCAACTTCTTTTTGAAGGATTCCACGCTAGATGCAGACAGAACATCTTCCGGCAGGTTGTTCCAACTTGTGGCTAATCGATTACCGAATAATTGTTTACCAACGGTCCATATATTTCATTTGTGGATTTTTTTAGAGTGGCCTAGAAGACCCTGTCGGGAAGAAAGTGTCTGCGGAAGATTTGTATCTATTGCTTGTATATTTGAAAGTCTCAACCATTTCGTTCGCCGATCTTCTCTTCTCCAAAGATCGAATTTTTGATGGACAGAGTTTTATGCCTCGTCTCTGTACCTTTTCAAGTCTCGATATATTCTGTTTAGTAGCCTGTAGGACACCAAAGTTAGAACTTGGCCTATCATCGTTAATGTCCTGTTAATCTGGATAATTCTCCTCTTTTTGAAAAATGCCGGGTGCAAAACAAGTCTGTCAGCTTGATGAAAAATTCAAATGCGACAATCAGACTTAAAAACTAACTTACAATACCAGTCAAAATGTTGTTCAATAGACGAGCACACATCAAGTTTACTACTCTACGTTAAGGTTGTTTTGACTGACCTTAGAAACATTTTGTAAGAAGCGGTAAGATGCTGTGTTTAGCGGACTGCTGTATAATATATATGATAGTACATTTACCTATTACCATATAAATAATGTGAAAGTTATCACAAACACAATTATAATAATTTTATCATTGTTATTATTTCTTTTAGAGCTGATTCAGTGACATGGAATCCCCACAAAATCATGGGTGTTACGTTGCAATGCTCTGCGATTCTTCTCAAAGAGGATGTAAGTACAGCATCTGAGTACAGTATGCATTAGGAAAATTTGTTTTCAGTTATTTTTAAATTAATCTAGGCCCACTGTAATCTGGTAAACGCTTAATATTATCAGGAAATTGATTTTTTTTTTGTCATTCAAAGGAATAAAATAAGTTACTAACTTCTAATCCTCGCTGGTGGCGCTGCACATTTTAAAACGAGACTTGGCGCAAGTGTACTAATTTGAAGAAAAACAAATTTTGAAAAAATCTCGGGAAAAAACAAAACTGAAATGACTTAAATTGTCAAAAAAATGTCAAAAACTGTGATTAACAGTCAATTTATGATTTCAATCAAAGAATTTATAAACGAAATTATTTATGCGTCTGTTGATTGTCAAAAATATTATCTTGTTTAAGCAGTTTTAATATACAAATATAAGTAATTAAAATATTGAATTTATTGTCTAAATTTATTAGCTCAAAACATGAAATATATCTTACTAAGATTTTGTTGTTAAAGTTCACCACTTATATTTAGTGATCAGCTATAAATTTTAATCAATAATTTAGTAATGGGAAATAATTACACGTTGACGATACGCACTTGTCACAATGATGAAGTTGAATAGCTTGCCTTTCCAGGGTCTTGGGTTCAATTCCTGTCAAGATAACATGAATTCACGACCACTGTTCCCTGCCAAAATACTCCACTGTCTGCCTCTTAATGCACTATGTAGAGAATTTTGTGCGTATGTTGGCCATGTGAAAGGAGTGCCACTTAGAAAGCGAATAAGTTTGTGGTTTGGCAAATCCTTGGAATTGATATAGGCCTAAGCGTATATAACTGCTGTTTAAGAGTGGTTTTTCGCCTTTGTTTGGTAGTAGTTTAGTGTTTTTAAGTACTGTATTCTCATGATTTGTTACTACTGTATTCTTTAAATGTTTTACATAATTAGTCATTGTTTACAATTTTTCTGTGCTTTCCTTCTGGAGTTTTATTGAATAATTTGAAATTGAAATCAACAATGTAGGGTATGTTGATGGAAACAAATTCAATGAAGGCGAACTATCTATTTCAACAAGACAAACACTACGACTTGGAATACGACACGGGTGATAAGGCTATACAATGTGGCCGCCATCTTGACGTCTTCAAACTGTGGCTAATGTGGAGAGCAAAGGTTAGTCTTAAGCTTCAAATTAATTCGCAAAAAATTGGCGGAAATTATTAACAAAATAATTTTGACAAAAGAATTGAGTTCCTGAAAAAAAAAGCGTTATATTGAACTAGTCACGTGTGTCTGTAAGGTAGACAGAAAATGTGATATTTCAGGGAATGGTGTTCGTGGTAGAATGAGTCAACCGTCTGCACACAAACCATTACTTTCCTCTGCCCGCCCGAGAATATTTTTTCCTGGACGTTTGAGGCAGTGACGATTGGCGGCGCTATATAGACTAAATAGAACGCCCCAACTGAGTTAGAGGGTTTATGCGATATCCAAAGCCTGAGCGAGTACCTTAGTACTAGTGGTGTGGTGGACAACATGCGTGCAACACCGACAAGCCGTACTGTAGTACCTTAAAAGGCGAGTATAAGGTTAAACATCCGCAGACTTCAACCCCCTTTTTTCTCATAAAAGAACATAAAATAAATCTAAAATGAATGATAATTAGGCTAATATTAACAAAATACTGTAGGTTAGGAATGTATTGTCACTCATGCCAAACTCGTAGCAGGGGAGTTCGAGGGGTTCGAAAGAAGCCCCTTTCCAGAAATGCCTTTCAAATTATTATTAAAAAGCACCACTGCAGTCCCTATTATGAAGATCCTAAGCCTAGGCACCACAATAGAACGATGCCAAGTTTGCCAAACAAACATATTCAAAGTAATGACGGAATAAATACTAACCAAGTGTATATTGAAATAAATTTATCAAAAATAAATCTGTTTAAAGAAATATTTATTTGATTTCGAAACGTAAAATAATTTGTGCATCCGATCCACACGATCACGCACGGACAGGTCGAGCAAAACCATACCATGGCTATGAAAAAATGGCCAAACAAGCGCTTTCTATATGTAATACAATCGAAATAAACTTCGAGAAATAAAAATTCGTTCATGGTTTTGGCCTAAACCCGTAACGGAGCCTAAATCTAGCTATGTACCGGCTTTAAAGCGATGGATAGACCTAAGCTTGTTTTTATTTATTATACCGTAAGGTAATGAATACGATTTTCTATTCAAGAAACCACTAGTTGTACAGTAGTAAAGAATAGGCTAGGCCTAGATCTAATCGTGGCTTGACAGCTCAGCGCTAGAGATCCGATGTTGCGTTCATACATCTTCGTCGCCTCGCTTGGTTGTCTCAAAATTATGCCTTCTATTTTACCGATTTTACGCCTGCATCTATGGCCCGATTTTGGTAAAAATACATGTCTGTTTTAGATTTTATGTTCTAAATGTTAATTTCGGAAGTGGTATTTCTCGAATTTTGTACTTAAATGAAAGGAAGACCTTTAAACAAAATTATAAAAAAAAAAATTAAAAAAAAATGCCGACCTGATTGTTTGAAAAATTTCGGTCGGTCGCGGAGGGCAACACAACGTTTTTTGGGGGCCTAATATATTCGCATGTATCAAAACCGATCTGTTGAGAATAAGAAACTACTAATAAATATTCATGATTCATTGCCGAATCAGGAATGTGATATTTTGAATCTTAGCGCCACCAATCGCCACTGCCTCAAACGTTCAGGAAAAAGAAATCGCTCCCTCCCCGCACTACCCAGTAGGCCTACCCTCTCAATTTGGTCCTTATCCCCTCTACTGAGGTGGTAGACTCTCCAACTGTGAAAGTCCCTTCCTGGCTCCTTTATTTCAAATACCTGGATTCTCCACTTATATCATTTATTCGTCGTTAAAAACATTTAGAATAACAATGCAAAATGATTAAAAAACGAGCACATCTAATCCCAGGATGGAATTGTTCACCGGGACCCAAACAGGTCCCCCAGTTTCAGAATGTCACAGGGTAACTTGCCCTTCGTTACGCCAGACCGTCTGTAAAAAGAATCACTGTTAGGACGAGAACACATCAGTTAGGCAAACAACATTTCTGACCCCTTTTGAAATACTAACATTGACACTAACACTGAACACTATTGGCATAAAGCTGTTCTTTTGTGAAATTAGTATATTTACGTGACAATAAAGATGAAGTAGTCATTGTTCTAAGTTGCAAAATGTAAACCTAAATATTTAAGCACATGTGGATAATTTTAGTGGGCAAAAAGTATTACGAAACTGCGGTAATTTTGCATCATTATTACTTCGGTGCCCACCTTTAATTATATGTGGACACCTTCAAGCTACTAAACAAAAAGTCGGCTTGAGATAATCATGACAACAAAATTGCACTTTTTCCTTGGCTTAGCCCTGTTTAATAATGAATCTAAAAATGTCGATGTACAAAATCGCACACATTGTGTATCCCATCTAGATACAGTAAATATATTTTATTGGCTCTTCCAGGGAACGCGAGGAATGGAATCCCAGATCAACAAGCTAATGGACATGTCACAGTACGTAATGATATAAATACATTTTCTAAATCAATTGATTCAATATATGATTTGTTTTTGTAACAGCATTTTAAGGAACATGTTGTAATAATAATAGGCTTATGAAGCATAGCTCATGAACGAAAAGTTCCTTTTATTTCAGTTGTATGAAAAAAAATGTGCTTTAAAAAATGTATATGG